TTTTTTCATCGCAGAAAGTGATGAAACCTGAAGTTTGATGAAAACTGGAATTTGAGATTGTGACTGGATTAGTCACAGCCAAAGGGTCAGCAGATTATGAATTTCTTAACAAATTTAGTAAATTCGTTTCTCTCAGTAAATAAGTAACGTACCACCCCTGCACACATCCCACCACTGCTGTAACAGACAACTTTTTCTATGTGTGAAGACAGTTTAATTTGACCTGCATAAACTCTGGGTGTTTCCTAGCAAGACCCGGAATGGACTCTGTGTGTGCATGTGCTGAAAAAACACAGGCATTCCTTTGTAGTATCAACTCCAAGTCCAAGGAGTTTGGTTTTGTGGATTTTTAAATCAAACTACACTGCATAACCAAGACACTGCAGAAATACCATTCCAAATTCATAACAACTTGTCTTAGACATGCCAAGAGCACTATAAAGACACACAGGAAATAAACAGCCCTGCACTCAACCTCATCGTTTTCTATGACATAACAGCTTTATTCCTAAATATGTGCGTGTATACCCAAAAAACAATCCTGAATATTTATGCATAGGGCATGACAGCCACAATGTACCTGAAGCTGATAGAAACACAGTTTCACATTTAAACACTGGCCTTTTCACCAACAGAGGAATTGCTAGTACCTCTGAAAATGTAACTAAAATAAATCACCAGCACTGAAAATTGAGACATTTGATTTAACAACTAATTCTGGTGAAGGAGATGAAATACAGGGATGAGCCACTGACTCACAGTATCACAAGAGGCCTGGGGAACCCCTTTCAAGAGTATTCCTAATGCAAGAGAATGCCCTGCTGCAGCACCAGAAGGAATGCCAGAGCATCTACTCCAAGTGAAAGAAAAAGCACTCCCTACAGTTTATCCTCGCAACAAAATTTGGATATCTTCTCTTTCAGCATTTTGACTATTTTATTTGAACTGAGGAACTGCTCAGGAAGTGACAAAGATGGACTAGGTTAAATGCCGTAACATGGTACTTATTCACACCACATTAGGCAGAGGAACACTAAAATTAGGCATAAAATTTTATTCCCTTGATAATATCCTCAGTATTGGCTAGAGACAGGAGGAGAAAAGGGAATTTCCCTTGGAAAAAATAAAACAAGCTATTGATACGTAATATAAATACTGTGGCAGTAAATCAGTATGTATTGCTGTTTCTACTGGGGGGGGGGAGGAGAGGTGGGGAGGAATGTGAAACATCACCGGAGACACTGGAAAAAATTAGCCATTCAGTGAGCTCTGACCCTTTTTCATGGTTACTATACTATCCATTACATTCTGCCTGAAAACAATCATATTAATTACAAAAACATAGGTGAGATGTTTTCTTTTGATTTCACTGGAGACGCATGAGAAATGTGTTTGGCCTATCACTCTATAAAAAGATGCAACAAGCCTGATCCAAAACTCATTGTCTTTCCTTTGGGGTCAGCAGCCGCCTCATGCAAAGTAGAAACAACACAGCAGCCTTCTTAAAACACATCATGAAAATGATCTGCAAAAAACCTCTGCTTTGCACTGATTCTCTTCACCACTTCACCTAGTGATGGACAGCACTTTCCAGATTCAGAATGAAGCAGCTGAAGTTCTGCCAAGTGAACATACATCCATAGTATATTCTGCCCTTTTTAATCAACTTCCTGATTAAAATATGCCATGCTGACATAAGGTATGAGAGATGCAGACTTTTAATACTTCACGAAATAATAGACCCCAAGTGCTGGTTTGGGTGAAAATCTGTGATCCTACAGATGTTTATGGGTTTGCCTGGTGCAAAGCTATAATCAATTTGGTTATGATGAACCCTCAAGATAAACAAAATTTAACACAGAGGAAACCAGTTTCTGAAACCAATTGCCCAGATGCATTAGGCAGGTAGGACTTCCAGCAAACCAAAGGGTCTACTGGCAGACCCAACACTGATTTCTGAATGTTTACAGCCTACCAGACAGTCCTATATCAGACCTGATTTGATGAATCCCTATGGGGCACCCTGCAGCCTTAGTTATTTCCACGACCAAGTTGGCTAGTTTCCTTACTTGGAAATTGTGTTCCACATTAGCAGCTTCCATGCAAACATATTTAACTAGTATATACATTGCAAACCTAACCTGAGATCAGATTTTAAATCTGATCTAATAATGTTTACTGTTTTCCAACAAAACGTATGATCCCTTTTAAGCGATCAAAAATTCTGTTGTGGTTTTTGGCTGCCTGTGCCCACATTCCACTCTTCCCCTCAACAGAAGACGTCCCCTCTTCATTTCAGTTTCATTACATTTTGCTGCTTTTTCCTCTATGGCTAAAATAGTCAGGGTGCTGTGAAGGATTCTAAAGAGATAATCTTCGTCAACAGCCCACAAAAGCTTTGATTTGCTCTCCTTGTGACTTTTTACTCTAGGATATGTGAAGAAGGTGATGGTATTTGGTCTGCACCCATTTTCATTCCACAGAAATCCGGCTGCCTTTGTGGTAAAAACACCATTGATACTCTTATTAGGATTTCTCATCACTCCTATTATAAGAAAGAAAAGGTCAATAAGCAGTCTACAACCCAAAAGTTTTCTTGTACTACACTGTCAACAACTTCACATCTTTATTGAAAGTTGATCAACATGATGCAAACATCTATCAAGTCCAGGGAAATGGATATTAAATTCAGTATTTCCATAAGTAGCATACACATTTAATAAGAAAGTACTTTTCCACCACTGAATCATCAACAAAATAATATCTGTTCAGAGTTCATCAAGAAATAGGTTCTAACACAGAGAACTCTGTTTTATAAATGTGCTTGTGCAATGCACTTGAAAAGAAATGCCCATGCTGATTTCCCAAGACAGTGCTCACGGATGGGAATTATATTTTCATTCTTTTGCAGTTCACATAAAAGCCTGACTGGTGCAGAAGAATAGTTTTCAGAACAGTACTGTGTTTGCTCTTCATATGGCAAAGTTTCTATGCCCAGCTAATAAATTGCCATATAAGTGTATGCACTGATGTGTATGCAATCTAAATACTCCTTTGCATAACTTATCTCCTCAACACAAAAATTAAACAAAATAGAAAAGAACAGGGAAAAGAAAAAAAAAAAGAGACACCCTCAAAAATGGTCCTTAACAGATCAGGAGACATAATACACTGAAGTAGCTCCTCTTCTTTCTTAATTGTCTTTGTCTCCAAACACACAGTTGCTCAATTCTATAATATGTAGGATACAAAGCTGTAGAGTAAAACAACAGTCATAGTATGAACTAAGAACTACTACAATAAAACTGATGCCCTTTTTGAAAATGTGGGCATATAACTGGGTATTTGAATCTAAAACAAAGAAACCGCTGCAAATGTTTAGCATTTAACTATTGCCCTTGTTGGTTAACATAATGGGGGAGAAAAAAGGAACATTCACTCTCCAGAAAGTTCAGGATGTAAAATACATACAAAATTGAATTTACTCCTAGGTTAGTTTTAAATATACTGAATTCTGCATTTACTCATTGTAATTATTTACTCTTCTCTTTGTTTCACTTGATAAATCAATGTGGTTTTTAGAAAAATATAATAATTACTTTTCTCCTAGTGAAAACCCCTGGTTTATTGCATAGTCTTACATCAGCCTGTATTTCTAATGTTAGGAGTGTTATGTTGCCATCTCAATTGTTTTTAAATGTGTCACATTGAAAACAAGTATAAACAGACATAATCACCAGACTACAGCACAGCAACCAAGTTTAACCTTATCATTCCAAACTTGAACCTTGATAAATCATCAGGAGTACCTGCTGACTGTCCAATAAGGGTTAACAGTTTCTTCCAATATTATCTTTTTTTGTTTGTTTGCAGAGTGACATGACAAAGACTTCTATTTGTTTGGTAATTTTTGAAAAGAAACTACCACACAACACTGAAATGTCAATTGAAAAAAATAAAAGAGAGAGGTAAAAACTAAATATGGTTTGGAACTGTGTGCTGTTGTTCTCCAAAACAGCACCATTAAAGGTTACAAAAACCCCACACCTCTCAAATTAAAGCAAATCATTCATTAAACTGTTCTACAACAGTCACAAGAAGTATGTAAAGACAATTAAAGGGTAATAATTTCTACTTAACCCCAACCTTAACTGCAGTTTCAAAATTAGGTCACTTAAAATGAAAATCACCATTTTAAAGGGGATTAAGAATCATTAAAATTGGATAAAATATTCCTAAATGACCACATTAAAAAAAAAAAAGTAAAGGCAACTAAATTGAAGCTCCATATTTTATACACAGCATCAGGATTATATAAGAAATGCGTGTCAATGGATGCTCTGTTCAAGAAGTGGGATTCCAGTCTGACTCAGTGTTATCATCTGGCAAAAAAAAAAAAAAAAAAGTAATTCAAAGACAGCTTGTTTATCTTCTTCTTTTGATTTCTCCTTTCAATAAAGAAGCCTTTATAAGGACACGTATATAACACGCATTTGGAGCTGAAAGAACCACTAGTAATTTGTCAATCAGTAACTTCAGCTTTTAGCATTACTAGTAAGTTTGTGTTAAATAAGCATTTTTTTTCCTTTCAGCCAAGAAAATGCACACCACACCAATCAAAACTAATCACATCTGGGCTTTCATTGAAGCAGTAGCTGCTAATTTTACAGGTCTGCCCACATTGTGCTAGAAAATAGGAAGCAGAAATCTGACATTTCCAGCAGTCGTTATTAAAACAACAACCACTGAGTGCTTGATCCCGTTTTCACTGGAAGCAATGTCAAAACTCCCCGCTGACTTCAGGGGGAGCAGGATCGAGCCCTGATCTGCTCAGCCTCCTCCAGCTCTGTGCACAGGAGGATGTGTTGAGGAGCTGGGGTGGGAGAAGAGGAGAAACACAAACCCCAGCTATTCTTTTGTTAACTGCCCAAAGAGTTGAACTTTCCATCAGTTTGTGAACAACAGCAAAGTGCCCTGCAAACAACAACCGTGATATTTACCTTGAGGGAATAGCAAAGGGAAAGCCGTAGAACTGCAAACCAAAGTAGTCCAAATGAATTATCTACGCATGCAGTCCAAACGTGCACCTTCAAGTAGGCCAGTCTGTCAAGCAGTCATCTCCTCGGCACCAGCCGCCCTGCCTTCCATCTTACGAGATTCAACCAGAGAACTGACAAACCTGCTCCACGACAACAAAATTCTCCTAATGCTTTTGAACGCCCACCATTTGTTCTACATTCATCCAATCAACTTTCCACTGCACATCTTCTCCTGCGACTGAGGCTCAGAGGCAGGATCCCTTCTCATCTGTATGCTAATTATTTTGCCATATGGACAAAAGTAATAATGCTTTTAGACAGGAAACCAACGGGCCTGAAGTCGAAGGCAGAAATTAATAAGTTGCCACCACTGAACGCCGAGAAGACGGGCATGCGTGCAGCTCTGTGGCTGACGGATCAGCTGTAACCTCCATTTAAGAGCAGCAGAGAGGCGACGGGCGGGAGGAAGCCTCGGCAGCGCAGCATGCATCAAGCCCGCGTTCCCTCAGAGACCACATTACTGCCGCAGAACAGCGTCCGTAGCAGACCGCTGACTTACCCCGCCTCAGCCCGCATCCTTTAAGCACTGCGACGCGCATCCAAGTTGTCGGCCCCGCGGCGGCCGCAGCTGCAGGCCCAGCCCCGCCGGCGCGTCGGGAGGCGGGCAGGGCTGGGGCCGCGCTCCGCGCCCTCCCCGGCACCCCGGGCCGGGCTCCCGGCGGCGCTGTATTCCACCGAATAGAGGGGAAACACAAAACGCCGCAGCTCCGGAAAGCAAACCGCGAAAAATACTCCCCTGCCGCGGCTGCCGGCGTAAAATGGTGTCTCCGTTATAGAACAACCCCTTTCTCCCACCACCACCCCCCCCCCAAAAAAAAAAAAAAAAAAAAAAAGGAAAAAAAACACAACTATATCTGGCCCTCTAAATGTGTCTTTAAAATAAAATCATGATTGGAAACCATTACTGTTTTGAAGCTGGGGTACCACTCCAGGTTTTATGGTGTTAATTCATCGGGATTGTTGAAGCCTCGCTTATTTTACCTGCTCACACCATCTTCTCCCCTTTGAAACAAAAGAAATGAACTATTTCCAGGGGAGAAGATCAGCAGCCTTACACCATTAGCGACCCAAGCGGCTCAGCTCTATGTGACCAACAGCCCAAACATAAACAAGGAACCTCACGCAGAGAGGGCCAGATCTGCATGTGCCCCTTCACAGCCTTTTCCCTAGCAGTTTGACGTGGATTCTGTGGCTCCCGCTGCCTCCGCTTACTCAGGGACCGCGTTACTAAACGTGTCACGCAGACAATAACTGGGAAGAGGCACCTCACCGCCTCGCCACACTATTGCGGAGGTTTCCGCCGGCGCCCCCCTCCCGTGGGCAGCCTCCCTGCGGGCTTGCCCCCGGGCAGCCTGACGCCCCTGCAACGGGAGTACCCTGACAAGCGGGGAGCCACTTCCTTTAAACTTGTCCCCGAAATGTCATTTCGGCAGCAGCGTGACGGGCTGCGATCCTCCCGCGGGGCCGCGGCACCACCCGCAAGGGAACGGGCACGAACACTGGCACTGCTCATCACGCCCTGCCAGCCCCGGCATCGCAGAGGCTCCTGCCCGTCCGGCCGCTCGGCACGGAAGGACCCTGGCCAGCGCCCAGCTACAGCCCGCGCCCTCCCTGCACACACGCACGCTGCCCTCCTGAATGCCATTGTGCTGCTGCAGCCCCCTCCGCCCCGCACCCCTCCTCCCCCTTGCGCGGCGGTGCTCGGTGCGGGCAACCCGCGCGCAGACCCCTCTACCCGCCACAGAGGCGGGGTAGCCTGACCCAAAAGTCACAGGGAACACCCTTCTCCAGCCCTGGAACGTAATCCCCCCCGAGCCTGCTGCCTGACGGGTGGAGACCAGACATACCGGGTACTGCAGAGGTTACCGTTCCCTCCCCACCAGCCCTGCCAGGAACCACACACACTGCAGGCTGGAGGCAGGGCGAGCCCCCCCCCCGCGTACCAGCCCTCTGCATCCCGAGCCATCACAGGAGATTTACCGCCGCACCCCGACGGCAGCACAGGGGGGGGGTGGTTTGGAAGGGAAGCTCGCCACAGGGATTCAGAAGAGAGCCTGCTGAGGTCGGGACTAACAATAGCAGAGCCCTCAAGACTTCCATGCTTTTGGTGGACAACGCAGTGTTTCCCTCAGAAAGCAAAAAAAAAAGGACTTACGTGTCTCTTCCCCCGCCCCCCCCCCCCCCCCCCCCCCGCGCTCGTGGTTCGGTGTTTTTTGGTTTTGGGTTTGTTGTTGGTTTGTTGGTTTGGGGGTTTTTTTTTGCCTTCCCCCTCCCCCTTAAGTTTTTCTGTCATCTCTGATTACATCTCCCCGCTCTCGCTGGGCTCCCCCGAGGCCAAGGCGCTGAACCCTCGGGAACGGCGGCGCAGTCGAGCCGCAGGTGCGGATGGGGAGCGCGCAGGGGGCCGCGCAAGGGCGGGGGGAAGCGGGTCTGGCCTGCGGGGGGGGTGGGGTGGAGAGGAGCCTCCTCGCAACGGGAAGGAGAGCTACCATGTCTGCGTCGCAGCGGGGGAGGGCATGTCAGCCTGGGGTTTTTCCACCCAAATCTATGTAGCCTGAGAAGCACACGCACACCTGGGGACGAACCCGCCTCTCTGTGAGCGTGTAGGGGTATCGGCACCCCCCAAATGGATCTCGTCCTTTCCTAACGTAGGGTTTACATGCAGAAACTTTGGATAGATGCATTCGCGTTTCACAAGTCACGGCTTGTCTTCTTTCCTCTAATAAAGCTAACCTCCTCATGTTGGATCCTGGCTAGCCTTAGTAAGACAGTGAAGGGGACTATGTGGCACACACGTCATTGGCAGGTGTTTTCAGATTTGTAAAAGGTGATTTAGCTGGGGAAAGAGCCCTCATCATCACTTCCAGCCTTGGGGATGGCACAAAGGAACGGCCTGGTGCTTCTCTCACTGATGACAAAACCAACGCTTGCTTTGAGGCAGAAAGTATATAAATCCTGTGTTAGTGAGAGTTAAGGGGGGAGGAGGGGCAGCATAAATTAGAAACAATTACAAAAATACCAGTGTGTAAAAAAAAAAAAAAAAAAGAAAAATAAAAAAGAATAAATAAAATTGGGAGACTAGTGATTCATTGGCCTAATTATGCTCTACAAGACGTTAGGGTATGGGTTTAATGTTGTGGGTTGAATTCTCCCTCCCCCAGCCTATGTCTCGTCAACGCACACTATACATCGGGAAAAGGATATGCAGGTCAGGTTTAAGCAGCATTAATGAGAGCACAGTATTTTTCCTGAAGGTTACATTAGCCAGGCTAGCAAATTTCAGGTAAAGTATTCTGGAAAACCTTCCATTTCTTGCGCTTTCCCGCTGGTAGCAGTTTTTAACAAGAGTTGAAATATTAAGCAAACACAGAAAGCAGAATTCAAGCATTAGAAGAACCCACTACTGTCAATAAGGGAGTACAATTTCAGTTTGACAGGAGTATTACAAGAATATACTCGCTAACGAGCAGCCTTAATTGGCCTGCATATTGTGGCTGTCACTGTTAAAACCTGTTCCTATACACTCCTATTTTATATATCCTTTAAACGTATAGTTCTCCAAGGCAGTTAAGGAGACAATACTTCACTCATTGGGCTTTTGATTTTGGGTGGAAAAGAGACGGGAAGAAAAGGAAACGAAAGGAAAATAAGAAACCCTATTGAGAATATGCTATCAGTGACTGAAAAACTATGTGGAAGTCAAAGCTATTGTAGAAAAAAGGCAAACGTCTTTTTCGGTTTCAGTGCAGTTTTGAACGTAAATTGTTATTTGTCCATAGATTTTAATGGCTGCAGAGGTTTCACTGACATTTACTATACTCAAATCTTTTCAAAATGTACTGTTCTTTAACAGATCCCACCTTTTCCTCAGCAGGACACTCTGTCTTAGAAGTATTTTTAATTTAGTGATTTGCAGGAGTTCACTGCTCGTCCTGGCAAATTACTCACACAATAGAGTTTAATGTGTGGCTTCAGTTTCCAGTACAGGGTCATGCTCGTAAAGAATACAAATGAAAGAGGAGCTATTAAAAAAAAAAAAAAGAAAGAAAAAGTTACTGCGCATGTGCGATTGGCAGCTATTAAATGATAACAATGCAACTTCTAGGTAATAAAAGTCAAAATACCAAACAGGGCAGAGCAGACCATGCCCTGATGCTGTGTCAAGTGCCTTATTTTAAAGAAGCTATTCCTAGGCTGAGTTAAAACCTTCTAACCTGCAAGCTTGAATACAGAACACTGTTGCATTTGCAAACTGCAAAAGTCATTTATGTATATAGTGAAACCTCAAAAAGATTTTAAAGATCAAGTTTCGATCGATAAAATGCTTCCTATTGTCGCACTCCGGAAAACTAGGGGGTAAAGGAGGGAGGTAGGATTTGCAGGGCAGACGCAGGAAAGACCTCGGGCACAATCGTGCTGACGGTGAGGGCAAACGTAACGTTGAGGTGATAAGATGGGTACGTTGTTTATTTGCACAAAAAAAAAAAAAAAAAAAAAAGGGAAAAAAAGAAAAAAGAAAAGAAGACAAATTAAAGCGCTTAGCTCAACAAAGCGCTCTTCGCGAAGAGAAAGTCTGGCTAAGCATGGCAATACCTGTAATGTCCCTCGCATTCTGAGAGTTAAAAGTGCCCGACTGCAGCGAAGTGCTGTTTAAACTGCACTGTCTCAAGGATCTCTGCGACCAAATAAACCTCACTCCGAGACAGCTTGCAAAAGAACTGGAGCAGTACTTCGAGGCAAAGATTCGATGCGCTGCCACAGCTCTGCCCGCATCGCCCTTTGGGCCGGCGCAGCGCCGCTCCCGCTGTGCCCGCAGGGAGCTCAGGGGCCGGGGCAAGGGGGTGTGGCGGCGTCGAGCCGCTGGCTGCGGACAGCTCCCGGTGCTGAACGGCCCGTGCCGCGCTGGGGCGGCCGGCGCCCCGGCTGCGCGGCGCTGTCTGCAGAACAATGGCAGCCAGCTCCAAATCCTGCTCTAATCACGTTAATGAGATTAATCAGTGAATTAGCAGCAGTCAGATGTCAGGGTGGCAAGGAGGAATCCAACCAAGCTTGGTAATTAACTTTTGGGGGGCAGGGGAAGGGAACAGACAGTGTTACCCATTAGTCTTTTCCCGAACTTTAGCAGGCTTTATTTGCCAGCCTTTGGAAGATGCTGACAACTGAAGTGGAGGGGGGAGGAGGGGATAAGACGGAGCCCTCAACCTTTGAGCACTATAATACAGCCTGCTAATACACAGTATCCTGTTACTTCCAGCTGAAGTCCATTGAGGAAACTCGCACCGCTTCAAACACACACACACCACCCAACACCAGAGCTGCACTGTACTGAACTCCGAGTGTGCGACTAGTTCTGTGACCCAACTTCCACCGCAAATACCAAGAGGCATGATAAATATGGCGGATGTCAAAGGAGTATTAAATCTTATTCCTTTTTAGAAAATCTACAAGAAATATACTCTCTGAAATCAGAGGGGTAGGAGAAAAAAGTGCCCA